AAAACCTCACCCCAAAGCCTCTTCACTCATTGCCTGATTAACTCCTACTCACCCTGAGATCTCAGCTTAAGTGGCATTTACTTCCGGATAAAAACTCCCATCACAGCTGAATCCCTTTGCTAGTGGCATAGCTTGGGTTGGCACCCAGGAACTTAGGTTCCGATCCTGCCTCCACCCCTCACCAGCCCTCTAATGAAACCACTGTCTGTTAGGGTTTCCACCCTAGGAAAGTGAGGAGACCTGGGACGACTTGGCTCCCTCATCTACAAGTGCGGGTGAAAATAGCACTTCCCGTATCAGGTTGTTAATGAAGCTATTAATGAGTTGACATATGTAGAATGCTCACAACATAGTAAGTGCTCAATAGTCTTCGTTCTTAATATGCTTCTACAGCACCATGTGCTCCTCTTTTGCGGGTTTTATCAGAGCTAGAATGTTAATACTCACTGGTGTGATGTTAATTACTGACCATCCCCCCAGCAGACCCTTGAGACAAGTGTCAACCTGAAAATAAAGAACCACACTGAGGCAAATGAGCATTTATTTGGGATTAAAGGATTGCAATATGGGGAACATGGGCAGAAACTCAAATGTTTCCACTTGTAGGGTGAAAGTGATTTTTATGAAGACAAGGAGGGAATTATATGAGTTGAAGAAAAAAGTTTTCTAGGGTGTTAACCAGCTTTTTATGGATACTAGTAAACAGCCTCTCTAGTTTACTCACTGATTAACTGCTAATTTTATCTTTAGAAAGCCCATTATCAGTCTTGTGATGAGGATGTCCATTCTTCTGCTGACTTCTCAAACGATTGCTTAACACAATAGCCATTTTTCCCAGTCCAAAGGTTCTGGCCCAGTTCAAAGGCAAGTGAGACGAGTTCTCTCCAATGGCCACTCAACTCTGTTTTAAAAAGGCTCCAGAGAAATGCAAATTAAAACCACAATGAGATATCACCTCACACCAGTAAGGATCGCCAACATCTAAAAGACAAACCACAACAAATGTTGGCGAGGTTGTGGATAAAGGGGAACCCTCCTACACTGCTGGTGGGAATGTAAACTAGTTCAACCATTGTGGAAAGCAGTATGGAGGTTCCCCAAAAAGCTCAAAATAGAAATACAATTTGATCCAGGAATTCCACTCCTAGGAATTTACCCTAAGAATGCAGCAGCCCAGTTTTAAAAAGACAGATGCACCCCTATGTTTATCGCAGCACTATTTACAATAGCCAAGAAA